GGCCAGGGCTGGGCCAGACGAGAGCTCCCAGGTTGGCCTCAGCCCTGGGCCTGAGAGTGACCGTCTACCGTGGTCCTCTCTGCAGCCCCTCGTGTCCACAGTCCTGGCAGTGCTGGGCCCACAAGGGGCATGGGCCAGGGGGCCAGCTCTGGGTGTGGACGGAGCAGGTGGGCAGCAGCCCCAGTGCCATCGGCAGTGCCACCAGCAGGTGCGGAGCCGAGTCCAGGACACGGCTGTGTTTTGGTGCATGCGTGGCGTGGTCCTGGCCCCTTCCTGTCCAGCACCCGAGGGACACCCCTGTGGCCTGGGTCAGCCGTGCCTCTGTGGAGGAGGTGCAGGTCCCTGAGGGCGCAGAGTCACCGAGACAGACGGGAAGCAGATTCCAGCAAGGTGACAGCCAGACGGGCCGCCCCGGAGGCTGCGGGCTTCAAGGGAGGCTCTGCATTCCTGCAGGCCCTCACCTCCACCCGAGCGCTGCCCTGCAGGTGACCCGTCCCCTGGGGCCGCCGCAGAGCCACCAGCAGCACCACCCTGTGCCCGGCAGCCCGGCGAGGGTGAGCAAGGGCAGGGGTGAGGCCGGCGGGCACGGGGCCTTCCCACAGGCAGCCCCTGTTCTCCGGGCGGGCCTGGGCCGGGATGGCTGCACCTGGGCACCCGTGCCGGAGGCAGTCCTGCCAGGTCCCAGGGCCAAGACGAAGAGCGCCCATCATCACCATGGATTTCCAGAGTGTCCGCCGTGGGCACCTGGGGACAGCCCTGGAGGGGACAGCCGGGCCACGGGGCCGCGGGCAGCACCAGCAGAGGAGAGCGTCAGTACCACACGGCCCGGACTCGTGCCTGGGCACAGGCGTGGAGGGAGAGCTGATGGCTGTGCAGCCGCGTGCAGGGGCCGGTGCCACTGAACCAGGCGCCTAAATGGCTGAGGCAGTGAGCTCTGCTCTGTTTAGGCACAGCAGTTCACAAAAACCCCAACAGGCTGGCCGTGGACATTGGCTTCTTATTTGGGTGCTGGTTCGAGTCCCGGCTGCTCCACTTCCGGTCCCGCTCCCTGCTAATGGCCTGGGACAGCAACCATGATGGCCCAAGTGCTTGGGCCCCTGCACCCACCTGGGGGACCCGGATGAAGTTCCTGGCTTTGGCCTGGCCCAGCCCTGGCAGTTGTGGCCAACTGGGGAGTGAACCAGCAGCTGGCGATCTCTCTCTGTCTCTCCCCGTCTCTAACTCTGACTTTGTAAATGAATAAATCTTAAAAAAAAAAAAAAAAGAAACCAATTAACAATCAAACAAAAACCTGCAGTGCACGCAGGGGGCACCTGGGGCCCAGGTGGGGGGACCCCGGGCAGGGGGCTCCAGCCCGACCCCGAGCCTGCTGTCTGTGCCCTGTGTGCTCCAGTGCGCCCTGTCTCACACAGCTTCCTCCCCTGGTGAGCCACCCTGGCCACGCCCAGCTCCCCTCCTTGCGCCATTAACCCCGGGCCCGCGGCCTCTAGGAGGGAGGATAGGAGGCAGACGCAGTGCGTGTCAGCACCACAGGTCCCACAGCTGGCTAGGCGCTGAGCTCACTGCACTCGGGCAGGCGGCACCCAGACAGGCAGCTGCCAGGCAGGCAGCACCGAGATAGGAGGCACCCCCCCATACACACCTGCACCCAGGCAGGTGGCTCTGAGACAGGAGGCACCCTACCCATGCCTGCACCCAGACAGGCGGCACCCCCTACTCCTGCACCCAGGCAGGCAGCACCCAGACAGGCAGCACCCCCTACTCCTGCACCCAGGCAGACAGCACCCAGGCAGGCAGCACCCAGACAGGCAGCACCCCCTACTCCTGCACCCAGGCAGACAGCACCCAGACAGGCGGCACCCCTACTCCTGCACCCAGGCAGACAGCACCCAGACAGGCGGCACCCCCTACTCCTGCACCCAGGCAGACAGCACCCAGACAGGCAGCACCCCCCTACTCCTGCACCCAGGCAGACAGCACCCAGACAGGCGGCACCCCCCTACTCCTGCACCCAGGCAGGCAGCACCCAGGCAGGCAGCACCCAGACAGGCAGCACCCCCTACTCCTGCACCCAGGCAGGCAGCACCCAGACAGGCGGCACCCCTACTCCTGCACCCAGGCAGACAGCACCCAGACAGGCGGCACCCCCTACTCCTGCACCCAGGCAGGCAGCACCCCCCTACTCCTGCACCCAGGCAGGCAGCACCCAGACAGGCAGCACCCCCACGCCTGCAGATGCCGAGGAAGCACACAATCCCCTGGTGCCAGGACCCAGGGTCCCCTCTGGCCACGAAGGCAGCCGTGGTCGGTGCTGGGGTTCGACTCCTGAGCTCTGCACACCTCAGGCCCCAGTTCTAGGAAATCACTGGGGGAGGGGTGGGGTGAGGCCACCCCACAGGGGTCTGTGTTTGGAGTCTCTCGGGCACCGTGGGCTCCAGAGACAGAGTGGCGAGTGGCGCTTTTGGGTGCGGCAGGGCGGGGCTGAGGGACACTGAGTGACAGACACGTGGGTGGGGCTCTTCCCAGGGCCTCCCGTGGTCCGAGCGTGTGCTGGGCCCGCTGTGGAGGCAGATGGCGGCCACGGCCCTAGCTGCTTCGAGCCCCCCTGGGGGCCCCCAGGCTGAGCTACCACGGCCCTGCTGACCTCGCGACCTTTCTGCTCCGTCAGTTGAACTCCTGGTGCCCCAGGCTTCCCGGTGTGGCCCGTGTGGGCCGCTGGCCAGACAGCCCCTCGGGGTTGCAGGCTGGGCTGGCCGGCCGCAGCCGGAAGGACCTGCTTGTCCACAGGGATTTTAATTGGCTGCTTCTTCCCCACCGCCCGGGCTTCCCCAAGAAGGGCCAGGACGTCCCACCCTCCGGTCCGCTGTGGCCAGAGCTGCCCCTGGAGCCCAGGCCTCACCCCTCCCACTGCATGCCCACCCAGCCCAAGTTTCCTGCAGTGACTCGCATGCACGCCCATCTTCCAGATGTGAAGACCGAGGCCCAGAGCAGCTCCAGAGCTCCCTGCAGGCCCTGGGCCCCCGTAGCACAGGGCAGGGAGCTGTTGGCCACCTGGAGCCCCGCGTTCCCTCAGAGGCAGTCCTTCCCCTTGCTTTGTTTCCTGGGGTCCACACCCCCTGAGCAGGTGTCTGATGTGAGAACACAGCCTCCCTGCCAGAGGGGCCGTGGATACCCTGTGGAGGGGCCCAGCTCGGCCCGCCCCGGCCCCTGACTCTGCCCCAGCCCCTGCCCTGCCCCAGCCCTGCCCCCGCCCCTGATGTGGCCACTATACCATTCAGGCCCCAGGGCGCAGCCTGGGGTCAGGGCTTGTCTGGCTGGGCCTGTTCCGGGTGGACATTCGCTTTCCTGGAGAGGCCCTCGGGGCTCTGGGTGAACAAGGCGCCGCCCGGAACAGCGTCCAGGAGCTTGGGTGCTGCCCCTCTACTCCCTGGGAGGTTTTTTTTTTAAAGTTTATGTATTTATTTGAAGAGGGGGAGAGACACAGAGAGAGAGTCTTCCGTCCAGTGGTTCACTCCCACGTGGGCATAAGGGCCCAGGCACCAGAGCCGCCCCTGCTGCCTCCCCGGGTGTGCCAGCAGGGAGCTGGATGTGGACACGCCCACCTCCCCGCCATCTGCACACGGAGCCGCCCGGGGGCTACAGCTCCTCTGGTGCCCCCTGAACTAAGCACCACCCGTGGTGGCCTGTGGTGGCCTGGGGAGCTCTGGGTGGCCTGTGGTGGCCTGTGGTGGCCTGTGGTCAGTCAAGCAGCCCCAGGACACTCGGGCCGACTCCGAGCGGCTGCTGCAGGGCTCAGGCAGCGCTGGGCTCAGCGCTGCCATGGAGACAGCACCAGCCCTGCCCCTGGCGCTTCCTGGGGTGCGTGGACTCTGTTCAGGTGTGACGTCCCCTCCCCACGCACCCCTCCCAGCACACCTGGGAATTCCTGAAATACAGGATCCGTGCTTCAGTCCCCAAGCTGCCCTGAGACGCACTCCACACAAGCACGCGCCCCATGCAGGCCACGGATGGGCGCCTGCGCCTCCCCCGCCCGCTGGCCCTGCCTGCTTGGTCCCCACTGGCGCAGCTTCCAGGAAGCCACTGCTGGGCCCCCACCCTGGAGCTGCCCGCTCTGTGCCGGCACTGCGCCCAGCCCCAGCACCCCGAGGAGACCCCCGGAGCTGAGCGTCTACCACGGGCCGGGGCCCTGGGAAGGAAGGGCGTGGCTCGCCCGGGGCTGTGTGGTCCTCAGGGCACCGGCCCCTCAACTAAAGTGGAAGGGGCCTCAGGACAAGCGGCTCTGTCCAGCTGAGGAGCTGGCGGGCGTCCGCGAGGGACAGCGTGTCGCAGCCCAGGCCACAGCAGGGGTCGCGTTGGCCCAGCTGGGGCTTCCTGAGGCCAGGGGAGGAGTCTCCATCCTGTGGGTGACCAAGGTCGAAGCAGGGGCAGCCAGGGCGTGGCCTGGCCACTGCCCCCAGCCCTGTCTGCCTTAGAGGCAGGTGGCACGGCCTGGGCTGCAGGGAAACAGGGTGAAGTGTGGGGGAGGGGCAAGGTGGAGTGGGACTGTGTGGGGTGGGGGCCTGCTCTGGGGGCAGGAGCTGGGTGCTGGGGGAGGGTGTGGAGCAGCTGCCGAGCTTGCTTGGGGGAGGAGCCTGTGGGACACCCTGGAGAGACTCGGGGTGGCAGTGGGGGTCTGGGCCGGGGTGCAGAGCAGAGGGCTAGGGCTGGGGGGGGCCCTACAAAGACTGCAATGGACACAAGGTGGGCCCCCGACCCCAGAGCCAGGCCAGAGAGGCGTCCCCAGAAGGCAGGAGGTCGGGGGTCCTGGCACAGGGTGCCCCGAGGGGGACGGGCCACCAGGGATGGGGCTTTGAGTGGCTGCGGAGTGCAGCTCCCAGGTTCTGGCCCAGCGGCTGCAGGTGGCGTCTCCACGTCCACTGTTTGTAGACAAGAGAGCCTGGGCTGCCGGCGCAGGTGCTGTGGGGCCAAGGGTCATGGGGGCGGGTCCTATCTGCCTGTCAAGACTTGCTCCACGCTGCAGAGTGCCTGCAGGTGTGTGTGTGTGTGGGGGGGAGGCAAGGCTCTCCAGCCAGGCAGGGTGGAGCCACCCAGGCTGCTTCCTCCAGTACCAGACAGCTCCAGCTCGAGGCCAGGTGGGTGCCAGCTCCCGTATGGCAGAGGCCGGGATGGGAAGGGTGGGCAGCCTGCAGGTGCCAGGCCAGGTGGGCAGGCTCAGGACGCACAGGCCAGATCCACACCCAGGCTGCGGCTCTGCCAGGGTGGGGCTCCTACCTCGGGTGAGCACAGGGCTTTGAGGGCTCCCAGCCACCTGGGAAAGAGGACGGCTCCCACAGGGGGCTCTGGGTGGCCACCGCCTGCCTCTCTGTCCCCTCCAGCCTGGCGGCTCCACTCCCAGGGCCGTGCCTCCTGCTATTGGGGTGGGGGTGGCGGGGAGCTGACCCCTGGGCCTGAGTGGGGCCTCCCGGGAGTGGCAGTGACAGGAGGGAGGTGGGCGGAGGGTGGTGAGCAGGCCCCGCCTCCTGCTGCCTCTAGGGACATTCCTGGTGGCTGGTGGCTGACTCACCCACTGCGAAGGCCTTGGCCCCCATTCAGCTATTTAGCCGCGGCTGCCAGGCTGTCACTGGAACTCCACTGCGCGGGGAGCCGCCCTCGCCTGGACCCAGCCATGGCCGTGCAGGTGTCCCTGTGGCACCACTACCTGGCGGCCGCCCGGTCGCGGCAGGCGCCCCGCGCGCAGGCCTTCCAGGGCGCGGAGGACGTGCTGCTCACCGTGCTGGAGCGCCTGCAGGCCCTGGACGCCCGCTTCCTCGTGGACTACTCCCGCGACGCGGAGGCCTTCCAGTTCGCCCTGCGCTCCTCGGAGGGCCCGCTGGACGTGCAGGTGCCGCTGCGTGTGGACGCCCAGGCGCTCCTGGTCCAGGAGCTCGAGGCCGCCGAGCCCGGCCAGGGTCCCGGGTGCTGCCGCCTGGGCATCCCCAGGGACGCGGCCGGCCTGGAGCGCTGGACGACGGACGACGTCTTCAGCGCGTCCTCGGAGGCCGACGCCGAGTGCTGCGGCCACATCGTGCCCAGCAAGGTCCTGCGTGTGCTCAGGGAGCTGCTGGTGGCCGCCATTGTGCACTGCAGGCACCACGGCCTCATCCCCCCAGGTAGAGGCTCCACGTGCGGGTGTGTGTGTGTGTTCTCCCAGGGGCACCAGCCATGGTGGGGTGTGTGTGTGTGTATATATGTATGTGTGTGTGTGCTCACCCAAGTGCACCTGCCACGGTAGTGTGTGTGTGTGTGTGTGTGTGTGTTCTCCCAGGGGCACCAGCCATGGTGGTATATATGTGTGTGTGTGTGTGTGTATATATGTATGTGTGTGTGTGCTCACCCAAGTGCACCTGCCACGGTAGTGTGTGTGTGTGTGTGTGTGTGTTCTCCCAGGGGCACCAGCCATGGTGGTATATATGTGTGTGTGTGTGTGTATATATGTATGTGTGTGTGTGCTCACCCAAGTGCACCTGCCACGGTAGTGTGTGTGTGTGTGTGTGTGTGTTCTCCCAGGGGCACCAGCCATGGTGGTATATATGTGTGTGTGTGTGTGTATATATGTATGTGTGTGTGTGCTCACCCAAGTGCACCTGCCACGGTAGTGTGTGTGTGTGTGTGTGTGTGTTCTCCCAGGGGCACCAGCCATGGTGGTATATATGTGTGTGTGTGTTTGTATATATGTATGTGTGTGTGTGCTCACCCAAGTGCACCTGCCACGGTAGAGTGTGTGTGTGTGTGTGTGTTCTCCCAGGGGCACCAGCCATGGTGGTATATATATGTGTGTGTATGTATGTATGTGTATGTGTGTGTATGTGTGTGTGCTCACCCAGGGCACCAGCCATGGTAGGGTGTGTGTGTGTGTGTGTGTGCTCACCCAGGGCACCAGCCTTGGTGGTGTATGTGTGTTTGTGTATGTATATATGTGTATGTGTGTGTGTGTGTGTGCTCACACAGGTGCACCTGCCATGGTAGGGTGTGTGTGTGTGTGTGTGTGTGCTCACCCAGGGCACCAGCCTTGGTGGTGTATGTGTGTTTGTGTATGTATATATGTGTATGTGTGTGTGTGTGTGCTCACCCAGGGCACCAGCCTTGGTGGTGTATGTGTGTTTGTGTATGTATGTGTATGTGTGCCATGGTGGTTTGTGTGTGTTTGTGTGTCTGTGTGCTTTCTCCCAGGGGCACCTGCACACAGTGGCGGTGTCTGCAAATGTGCAGGAGCACGCGTGTGTGACCGTGGCGTGTGTGCACAGGGGTGACTGTCCTGTGTGGCTGCAGGCACACACGTGTGTGTGCATGTGAGCCCTGACTGCGTGCCAGGTGTGCGTGCTGGACTCTTGGGAGCTGGGAACGGCGCTCTGAGGTTCCCCAGCCCAGCGTCTCCCTGAAGGCAGAGGACGCCTCTGCCCTGGTGGGACTGTGTCGCGCTGCGGCTGCGGCTGCGGCTGCTCAGTGAGCGTCCTGGCGAGGTGGCCATGCTGCTCTCTAACCGGCCAGAATCTCACAGTTGCTCTGCTCCACGAGGGCACCCGGTGTGGTCCTGGACACGGGGTCCTGCTGTCAGTCACGGCCACGGTGACCCCCGCACGTGTGCATGGCTGAGGGGCTACCGTGCTGCCGGGGTGCTGGCTGCTTTCCCGCACACAGGTGCTGGCCCCTCCCTCCTCTGGGGTCGTGTGGGTGCTGCCTGGGGCCGGACTCGGGCTGCCTGCAGTAGGCCCAGGCAGGGGCGGAGGCCGTGGGCCCTGAGCGATGAGGCGTGGCTGCCACTTCCTCCCTGGAGCTCACTGCCGTGCCCTCCTCTTCGGGGCAGTGAGTGGTGGTGGTTGGCGCAGCCCACAGCAGCATGTGAGGTGAGGGCCACAGTCCCCTGCAGGAGCCACCCCCTCTGGCTCTTCCTGTGGGGGGAGGCGGATGGCCGACACCTGTGCAGCTGGGCTGGGGGTCCAGGAGGGCCTCCCTCAGACCTGCCCTGTGTCCTGGGCTGGTGCCTGGCCTCCCAGGGCCTGAGCCGTCACTAGGGGCCAGCCCACAGCTGCCCTGTGGGGACCTCTGGCCACCTCCTGGGCCACATCCCCTTGCCCGGCCCCACAGGGCTGTCCCCAGTGGGCGCTCACAGGGAGCCCACTCCTGGGGCTGCTCTCACCCCAGGTTGGCGCCGCCGGCAGCTGAGCCGGGCATCAGGGCCTCTCGGGCTCTGGTCCTGGTGCTTGCTTAGAAGGAAACCCAGCATAGCTGAGGGACTGGGATCCAGCTGCCCCCGCCCTGGGAACTGGTGAGACCAGCCCGGGGCTGCAGGAGGGGTGGCGGGGCCAGGGGTGGCTGCTGCCTTGTGTGACTGACAGGTGTGGACACCGGAAGCTGTGACTGTGACTGACAGTGCCTTCGCTTCCATGCTCCGGGGGCCTGGGGCCACTGCGCCCTTTCTCTGGGGGGCGGATAGACCCGGGTCAGAGAGGTCCACACGGAGGGACTGTGGCGCTGAGGGTCCCTGGGGGCTGCAGAGAGGGACCAGGGCTGTGCAGTGGCAGCTGGCGGGCGGGGGCGGGCCGTTGCAGGTTCCCTGAGTGCGGCCAGCCTGGAGGAGGAGCAGCTGCACCTGTCCCTCTTGGTGTCCGGCGGCTGGAGGAAGATCCGCTTCAACGTGGTGCCTGTGGTGAGGAGGGAGCACCCGGGGCCCGCCCTGGAGGGGGCCCAGCTGTCGCCGGGATTGCCCGAGGGCAGCCTGCAACGCATCCTCAGCCACGGGGTGGACCTGGTGCCGGCCAGCGGCCAGCATTGGAGGTAGGTGCCCGCTGGAGCCGCCCGCCCTGCCCGTGATGTCTGTGTCCCACCGAGGTGTCTGGGTCTCAGGGTCCCACGTGGGGAGGGCCTTGCTGGAGGTCCCTTCTGAGGTTCCCAGATGACCGAGTCCCGGGCTCCCCTGCTCTGCAACCAGGGTGCTGTGGACTCTGCGAGGGTCATCTGCGCCCCAGCTGGTGTTTGGGAGGGGGCAGGAAGGGGGCCCTGGCCTAGAGACCCCACACCAAGGGCTGGGAGCCAGCCCCATGCCGCTGGGAAAGAGCCGAGCAGGCACCACGGGGGACGGGGCCTGTCCCCACCCCGGTGGACAGTGGCCACGTGCGGTGCCCTCTGCCTGCCGCAGCCCCTGGGCCCTGTGGGCTGTGCCGCTGGCCTGGGCTGGCCAGGTTGTGCCCACGCCCAGAGCAGGGCTGGGCCGGGCAGCTGAGCTGCGTGAAGGGGGAGGCTCAGCCCCAAGACTTCGAAGGCTGCGGCCCAGGGCGCGGCCGGGCTCCAGGCCTCATCGCTTTTTTGAGCGTCCAGCAAGCACCTCGGGCACTGGGGTGAGGGCAGAGGCTCTGAGCCTGGCCGGGCACTGCCGTCCCCCACGGCGGGTCTGAGACACGCATTCTGTCCACACCAAGTCCCTGCCTGCCTTGGGCCCAGGAGGCTCCGAGAACTGAGCAGCAGCCGAGGACGGGGCTCCCGGGGAACGCGGGGGCCCGGGGTTCCGGGGCTCCGGCAGCCGGGCCAGGCCGAGATCTGGGGGAGGGGCCCTGCGCTCAGCCTGCGGCTCTGGCTTCCAGGACCTCCACGGACTACCTGCTCACAAGGCTGCTGCACGCTCTGGGCTCCCTCCCCGGCCACAGGCTGGACGGGCTCTGCATCCTGGACAGGGTGAACCACGAGAGCTGGCGGGACGGTGGCCAGAGCCCCGGCCTGAGCTTCAGCCACCTGAAGGTAGGCAGCTGCCCCGCCCTGTACCCTGGGGGCGGCAGGCAGGGGCACAGCCTCGAGCCCCAGCAGCTCAGCCCAGAGGGGCGCCTGAGCCAGCTCCGTGCTGGGGATGCTGAGGTCCCGGGGGACCGCGGGGGCAAGGCTGTGGGTCGTGGGGCGTCTGGCAGCAAGCGTGGGCGCAGAGGGATGCTGCCGGCCAGAGCTCGGGTCGGTGAGAGTGCCGGTCCCCTTCTTGGGCTCACTGGGGCCACAGCAGCCGGGCAGCACCGTGGCCCAAAGGGGCTCTGTGCCACCCAGCACAGAGCGGGGCTCTGGCCGGGGGTCGTGACAGGAGCAGAGCCGGGCGCAGGGGAGGGTGTGGACCAGGGGCTCACCGGCCGCCCCGCAGGCGGTGCTGCTGTGGGCCTCGGCGCTGTTCCCGTCCCCGGAGGACTGGGCGGAGCTGCAGGGTGCCGTGTACCGCCTGCTGGTGGTGCTGCTGAGCTGCCTGGCCACCCAGCGCCTGCCCCACCCGCTGTGCCCCACCCACAACCTGCTGGGGGCCCTGGGCCCGGACCTGCACGCCGTGTACCCACTCGTGGAGCGCTTCGCCAGCCAGCCCGAGGCGTCCCTGCGCATCCACGCCACCCACCTGGGCCGCTGCCCGCCCCCTCGCCTCGGCCACGGCATCAGGGCGCTGCTGCAGCTGCCGGCCAGCGACCCCGCCTACTGGGCCACTGCCTACTTTGACGTCCTGCTGGACAAGGTGGGCCGCCAGGGGTGCACGGGGTGGGGATGCAGCCGCTCCGGCACCTGGCCTCTGCCTCCGAAGGTGAGGTCCGGCTGCTGGGCGGATGCTGGGGAGGGAGTCAGGCTCCATGGGAGGGGCTGCGGGCCCAGGGCTGCTCTCTGGACGCTGGGGCAGGTGTCTGGGGCCCCAGTCTCACGCTCAGAGCCCCACTTTTGCCCTGCGGGGATCCATGGCCACACCTCTGGGGCGGTGCTCCGAGAGCCTCCGCGCCCCCACCCCGCTCCCCTCCCCCATCTCTGGTCCCCTCCTTGCAGTGACCTTGAGGCCCGGTGGCCACCATGGCCTGGGCTTCTCTGTTTTAGCCAATGCCACCTGCTGGGGGCTGCCCGCCTCCTAGGGGTCACCTCCCCCATGGCTTCACTGCTGCACCCACGTCCCCAGCCCAGGCTCTCAGCAGGCCTGTGTGGGCGGGGCCTGGCAGTCAGCTTCAGCCAGGGTAGGGCACCCGTGTGTGAGGAAGGCAGCCGGCGCGGTGCACCTGCGGGATGACTGGCAGAGCCTGGGCGGGAGGGCCGGGGGCAGGAGGGCGGGAGGTGGGAGGGCGGGAGGCAGGAGGCGGGAGGGCAGGAGGGCAGAAGGGCAGGAGGGCCAGGGACAGGAGGGCAGGAGGTGGGAGGCAGGAGGGCGGGAGGCGGGAGGGCTGGGGGCAGGAGGGCAGGAGGCGGGAGGCGGGAGGGCGGGGGGCAGGAGGGCGGGAGGTGGGAGGGCGGGGGGCGGGAGGGCGGGAGGTGGGAGGGCGGGAGGCAGGAGGCGGGAGGCGGGAGGGCGGGGGGCAGGAGGGCGGGAGGTGGGAGGGCGGGAGGCAGGAGGCGGGAGGGCAGGAGGGCAGAAGGGCAGGAGGGCCGGGGGCAGGAGGGCAGGAGGGCAGGAGGCAGGAGGGCCGGGGGCAGGAGGGTGGGAGGTGGGAGGGCAGGAGGGAAGGAGGGCAGGAGGCGGGAGGCAGGAGGCGGGAGAGCCGGGGACAGGAGGCGGGAGGCGAGAGGGCCGGGGACAGGAGGACCGGACGCAGGAGGCCAAGCTGTTGATGTTGAGTTCCGGGCGCCGGGACCCTGGGACGGCCCCCGATGTCCCTGACCCTTCTCCCTGCCCGGCCTCAGTTCCAGGTCTTCAACATCCAGGACCAGGACCGAGTCTCTGCCATGCACAGCGTCTTCCAGAAGACCAAGAAGCTGGGCGCTGGAGAGGGCTGAGCAGGGCGGGGCGCCCCCGGGACCACCCCAGCCCGGCCGTGAGCACCGGGAAAGGCCGAGGGCTGGCTGTGGCCCCGTGGCGGGGTGGGGTGGGGGAGGGGCGGTGGCTCGTGGCACATTCGGTCCTGAGTAAAGCAGAGGCCATGCCTGCACCTGGTGTGTGTGGGCCTTGCTTCCCCTCGCCACGCGCCAACGGCACGGAACCTCCCGACCCACAAGACGGGCAGAGGGGGCCCTGCAGGAGCCCCGCCCCGTCCCTGTGCAGGTGCCCACTGCGTCTGCCCCGGGCCTCCTGGGGAGGGCCCGATCCTGGGCAGAGGAGCCCCAGCCTGTCCCCTGAGGGCCGAGGGACTGGGTCTGAGCTGACACCAGGGCCTCGTGCCTGCCCCCAACCACCCCTTGGTCCCCTCTGATTCGTGGGGGCCCAGGGGGCCCTGTGTCATTTTCAGGGGTGGAGTCCGGGTCAGGGGTGAGTGCTCAGAAGAAGACAAGGCCTCCCCCACGTCCATTCCGGGGACAGCCCACGTCCTGGGGGTGACGTCGGAAGCTGGTGCCACCATGCAGGCTGGGGCTCACAGGCGAGGCTCCAGTGAGCACCCAGGACAACGAATGACCAAGGGTCCCACAGAGGGAAGCAGGCGTGGCTGCCACACGGGGCCTGGCCCTGAGGGGGACGTGGCTCGGCTCCCCCGCCCACCCACCCTTGCAGGAGCTGCAGGGTCGGCTCGCGGCCCGCCACCCGGGGTGCTGGGGGTGTGGGCCTGGCTCTGACCAGGACGTGGCGCTCACTGGGTGGCTTTGCCCCATGCAATTGGTCCCTGGCCCCTGGCGTCCCCGGGGCCCTCGGCTGACACCCTGTCTCCGGCTCGAGGAGCCAGGACGCGGCCGGGCCTGCTGGTTCTGGAGACACGGGGCTGCTGTGGGAAGGGCGTGGCTCCCAAGTGGGTGGGGCTCCGGGGTCGGCGACGTCTGCAGCCAGGAGCGGTGTCTGTGCCACTCAGCTCTTTGAAGAGCAGCTGCCCCTGGCCTGGGCACACCCGGGGCCCCCGTGAGCTGAGCTGCCTGTCACAGGCTCATGCATTTTGGGTGGCAGGGAAGGCCACGTGGTACAGTGGACACGGACGGTCAGGCCAAGAGGGAACGTGGGGACAAGTCCATTCAGGGAGCAGCAGCCTGGACATCAAGTCCCCGCAGGGTGACCCCAGCCTCTCTCCACCCTCACGTGCGTGACCTGGGTGTGGGCTGGGCCGTGGGGCAGGGCCATGAGGCTGGGCCGTGGGCGTGGGCACCGATGCCGTGCAGGCCCCTGACGGATGTGTCTGAGCAGAGCTTCCGCAAGCTCAGGGGTGCGGGCGTCCTTGGAGCCACGAAGCGGGGGACAGGAGGTGCACGGGTGGGCGGGGGTGCTGCCTGGGCTTTGCAAACAGGGAAGTTTCGAGAAATGGACAAAGCAGCAGCTACTCCGGGCCTTGCACTGTAGCTGCAGACAACAGTCAGTCAGTGTGCGGGGACCCGAAGGACCCCTGCGGGGCAGCTCACGGGACACACGGGTCTCACGTGCCCACCCAGGCCCTCGGCGGGGAGCTGGCAGAAGGCTCCTGGGAAACAGTGGCTGCTCAGCGAGAACTCACCTCAGTGTGCACAGAAAGCGCTCAGCGGAGTTTGCTAGGAAACCAGAGATGTGTGTGGCTCAGTGAGCCGAGCACACCATGGAGCTAGAAAAACCGCAGGGACGCCTGCGGAAGTGAAGCAGGGGATGCCCGTGGGGGTAGAAGCCAGCAGGGGACAGCAAGCCGAGATGCAGGGGACAGCAAGCCGGGCACGCACCTGCTACACAACCCAGGTGAGATGCACCTGCTACATCGCCCAGGTGAGACGCACCTGCTACACAGCCCAGGTGAGACGCACCTGCTATACCGCCCGGGGTGGGCAACGCACTGCACTGGGTGAAGCCACTATGTGAAATGCCCGCACCCCAGGCTGCACCCTGGGAGGCAGCGGCGATGGCTCAGGTGCTCGGGCCTCTGCCACCCACGTGGAGACCAGCATGGGGTTCCCAGCTCCTGGCTTTGGTCTGGCTCAGCCCCGGCTGTTGCTGGCATTCAGGGAGTGAACAGATGGAAGCTCTCTCTCCCCCTCCGTCTCTCTCTCTCTCTGTTGCTCTGCCTTCAAGTAGATGAAAACACACACTAAGAAAAACCCCCTGGGCACTGTGGCATAGTGGGTTGACCCACCATCTGCAGTGCCAGCATCTCATATGGGTGCTGGTTCGAGTCCCAGCTGCTCCACCTCTGATCCAGCTCCCTGCTATGGCCTGGGAAAGCAGTGGAGGATGGACCTAGTGCTTGGGCCCCTGCACCCACGCTCTCTGCCGGCAGGGGGAGCCACCACCGGGCGGAGGATGCTGGGACAAAGTGTGGGGTGTCTGGGGTATGGAGAAGTCTCTCCTGTCCACCATGAAAGGCAAAGAAGCTTAGACGATAACTGGCGCTGCCCAGAGACGCGCACTGGGCCCACACTCACACAGCTGCTCGCCAGGCAGGACGCCGTGGAAGACAGAGGCAACGCTGCACCAGGGTGGACGCCCGCGTCACGCCCCAGGCCGTGATCCGCGCCCCCCCCCCCCAACTCCCTTCCCAAGCAGAACCAGGGCGCCGGCCCCACAGAGCCTCTGCCGCAAATACCCACAGCCGGGCAGGTTGCAGCTGGTGGGGAAGTGCCTTGGGGGCGTCCAGGGGGGTGGGCAGCCCTGGACCACAAGGACAGACGTCCAGTCCCCACGGCCGTGCGGAGGAACCGGCGTGCGGGAGAGCATGCGGTCAGCGCGGATGGATCCCTGCGAGGCCACCAAGATAGCCCAGGGAGGGGCTGGGGCACAGGCCGCGGGGCCTCCCCAGGCGGGCTCTTCCCATGCAGACTGCTTGCCTTCCACGCCCAGCCTCAGCGTGTGCTACTGGGGAGTCCAGGCTGAGATAGCGCTGGTCTCTGGACAGACGCCTGGCCAGTGCCACACGGCCCTGCCTGCCCCGCCCCTGCTCCAGCCTCCTGCGGACGGCCCCTCCCCTTGGAGCCGTCTGGGATCCCCATCCTGTGCTGGCCGGGGTCTGATGTCCGTGCTGACAGCGGCCCCTGCTCAGGGCCCTCCCAGGGCACATGGCTCTGCCCTGTGGCCAGAGCGATGGGGTGGCCACACAAGGGGACGCAGGTGCTGCCCAGCCATCCTCTGGGGCTCCTGGGACCAGGGAGGACCCTGACGGTGGGGCCGGGCTGCTGGCCCACTCCTGGTCCTGACTGGACAGCATGGCTTCTAGAAGGGAAAGGTGGGTCGGGGGCCAGTGGGAGCCAGGCAAAGGAGGGGGCAGGGGCTGGGCCCCCTCAGCACACAGGTGGGCCTGGAACCACCCCTGCGCCTGGTCCTGGCACTCGTGGGCAGACCGTGCCCCTGTCTGAGAGAGTGGGGTCTCGGCCAGCCCTGGGGGTGTGTGCTCCTGAGGGCAGTGTCGGAGGTGAGACCCTGGGGCTGGAGTCCACACTGGGGCCTCCTGCCGCTCCCACAGCCCAGCCACAGCGAGGACAGAGGCCCCAGGGCGAGGACAGAGGCCCCAGGGCGAGGAACGAGGCCGCACGGCAAGGACAGAGGCCGCACGCAACTGTTCTGTCAGCTTTCTTTCATTTGAAAGGCAGAGTGACAGACGGACAGAGAACTTCCACCCACTGGCTCAGTCCCCAAATGCCTGTGACAGCCAGGGCCAGGGCCAGGCGAGCCCACGGGCCGTGTGCCCTGGGGCTCCTGCGCGTGTGCCCTGGGCAGCAGGGGCGCTCACAGCCGGCCCTGGACAGCAGGGGGCGCTCACAGCTGGCTCTGGGCACAGTGCTGTAGGGCTTCTCTCAGGGCCGTCGCCAGGCGGTCCACGTTCTCCCGGGTGGCGTTGCAGCCCAGCAGGCCGATCCGCAGCACCTGGGGCACAGGGCAGAGCTCGGCCCCGGGCGCACCAGGGCACACCAGGATGGGCCCCCCGGGGAGGCCCCTGAAGACCCAGCTCAGGGCAGCCCCTGTCCCTGCAGACGCCCACTGCAAGGCCAGGCGGCGACAGGGTTAGGGTGAGGGTCAGGTGGCCACTCAGGTTGCCCTCCTGTGGACACAGTGGGACCCGGGTGTGGGGTTCCCAGCAGGGTCTTCAGAGTCCATTGGGTGGGAAGGAAGGGCGTTCTGGGTGGAATCGGACAGGTGGCGCTCAGTGACCCACCAAGCCAGGTGGGAGGGGCTGGAGGACACGTCCTGGCTGGACTCCCATGCTGTCCAGGCCCTGTGAGCACCCCGGCCAGCCTGGCCTGCGAGAGCCCCTCACCTTGTCCGCGGAGGGCCCCAGGCCGCCCGTGATCTCGATGCCGAAATGGTGCATGACGTAGCTGACGATGTCCCTCCAGCGGTAGCTGGCCGGCACGATCACCGTGGTAACCGTGGGCAGCCGCAGCGCCTGCAGGGGACCTGGCTCAGCCTCGTGGGCCCTCGACAGGGCCGGGAGGAGGGCGGGGCTCCCGCCGGGACAGTGGCCTGGTGTCAGGGCCGCCTGCAGTCCTTGGGACACCTGTCCAGGTCCTTCCCCGGGCAGGTCACACCCACCTTGGGGGCCGAGGGGCTTCATTTCTCAGCCGGGGCTTGGTCTCTGGGGGCGTGGCTAAGTCAGCTGACCCCGCCCCCACCCTGGAGCTGGAGCCCAGCGGGGTCCAGGTCTTCCAGCTGGGACATCTCTGGCGTCCCCAGGTACTCGTAGGCAGGCAGCCTTGCGGGAGGTTGTCCCGAGACCCAGCAGAGCGGCCCTCACTGCCCTGGGGGCTGCAGGCTGAACCCCTGGGCCCCTCCCTTCGGAGGCCCCCAGGATGCGGCCCTGCTCACCGGGTCCTTGACGAAGAGCTGCAGGCCCAGCTCCTGCAGGCGGCGGTACAGGTGCTGGGCGACCTCGCGATGTCGCTGCCAGCTCTTCTCCAGGCCCTGCGGGGAGAGGGTCCCAGGCCACTGTTGGGGGGAGGTGGGGGCTAGGAGGTCACCTCCACCCAGGCCAGGGTGGTGTCCGGCACACGGGACGCCGGGGCTCTAACCCAGCTCCGAGCAGTGGCTCGGTGGCCACAGCAGTCTCAGCCAGGACCCTGG